CGATAAATTATCGATTTTTTTTTTTAAAGACTTAATTCGTACTTTTATCATTGTATGTACGTCTATATGTATACTCACTCCTAAATATCTAATAATGCTAAAAGAACGTAATATGTTTTCATTTTTACTATGTTTCAAAAATCTCAAATTGTGCACGTGCGAAATATTCTTAAGAGTAATGTTCTTCATAGTCGCTCACTACGACAGTCGTCCTACGTAGCACACACATTGCATGTAGTTATTTGATGCATTAATATGGTAGTTCTTTTTTTATCACATTTAATGCATCAAATACACACTTGACATGTGTTTGTCACATAGGGCGACTGTTGCAGTGAGCAGCGAGTAACATTATTATTTTTCACGAGGCTAATTATATTGCCACCACGATATTCCTTTGATTCACCAAATTTCAAAGTATTTATATTTTTTCTATTTTCTAATATGGTCATAACTGAAATTACTTAAATAATCCTACTTTTAAACTTTATTTTACCCAAAAAAACAAAAATTTCGTTCCACCACAATCATTTAGCTCCAATTCGACAGCAATAATTTCAAAACTCTTTCCTTTTAAACTTTATTTTTTTAAAAAAATATTCGTTTCATGACAAACTCCTGTTTGACCGCCATTATTTCAAAACTCTTTTCTTTTAAACTTAATTTCATATAAAAAAAATTTATTCATTCTGCCACAATCATTTAGCTCTTGTTTGATAGCTACTATTTCAAAATTCTCTTTTTTTAGCATACTTATTTTCAAATTTACATTTTTTGCGAGAGACTGTCTAGATTACTTGAGAAGTCTAAAGCATTCAGGTAATGTAAGGCCATGTTTGATTGCCACATTCGATGAAAACGAATTCCACTTTTGCCTTTTAATTGCAACTTGAAAACTGAAATCGAATTCCAAGGTACAACCAATTAAAACTGTATTTTCTTTGTTTTCATAGAAAACAAAATTATATGTGTTTGATAGATTTTTTTTTTTCAATTAACATGGAATTGAATTTTCTTTTCACATTTGTCTATCAAATGGACCCTAAGTTCACTATAGCCTTTTGCAATTCTCTAGGATTAAAGAGGGTAAAATTGAGATTTTTGTGATTGAGAAAGTATTCAAATCTGTAAAATAGATGTTAATGTGAAAAATTAAAATTGAAGACATATTAATTTAAAATGATGTATCAATCATTAATTGGGTAGACAACAAAAATTGAATAGCAAATCTCAACTCTAATTGCCTTAAACTTATGTAAGTATATTTTTTACTAATATTTTAATCGTGTTTTGTAGGATTGATTATTATCGTGATTTCTAAAATTTTCTTTACACGTGCAATATAATTTTTTAAATTGTATTTTTGGGAAATCGTAATTTTATGCAAATTAATATTTTAGAAGAAAACATCTTAATATCTTGTTTTTCAGTTATCATTATTATTTTTAAATAAATTATTAGATGTAGACTTTCAAATTTAATTGTTAATTCGATTTGGGTCTCTTAATGAAAATTTATCTATTGAGCTAAATCTAATTTTTGATTAAAGTTGGACTCTAATAGATATTTTGAACACGTGCCTATTAAATTGCCCATTATCTTTATATATCGTATTTGAATTAAAAAAAAAATATTTAGATTATGTAACACAGTGAGGAATTGATATTACAAAAAAATCATTTTCTCACCCCGTTAGGTACATGCAGTATGTCACAATCTAGTTTAATTTATGACAACTCTTCAAGATGAAGGAAAAATGATCAAATTTAACTTAAATATATTAAAATCATGGAAGTAGTTGTACTATTTATCCTTCATCAAATTTTATTTCAATGAGTTTTCTCGATAATGTTTTATCGGAGTGTTACTTTTCAATAATTTTTTATATTCGTCTTCCTTCATTTGATATTCATATTATTGATTGCCAATTTCTCTTGAGCTCATCACACATCTCTGTTGCCCAAAATTTCTCCAAACTCCCGCGTACGCCCTAGATAAAAAATTGGAGCAGTTGACCCGCGGCTACTAACCTAATTCCCTCGTAAGCCCTAGTACTTTTCAGTTCTCTTAGATGTCTTTTCTAATCAACTAGTCAAAGTTAACTTTCATTTCCCTTCTTAGGACTTTTCTATCGAGAGATTTTTTCAAGGGAGATGCTACGTGTACGTAATGGTGTACATACGACTTTACACCTCCCTCACATGGAGGGGGCCCACACACAATAAAATATTCGTAGACCCCCTTCATGTGAGGGGGGGTGTAAAGCCACATAGAATTTTTCATTTTTTAATGGGAAGATTACATAAATATGCTTTTACTTTTACCTATTTCAAAAATCCCAAAGCATGTTTCAAATTTCAAAATTCAGGTTTTTTTAAAATTTTAATTATAAAATAATAATTACTAAATTAATTTATTATTAATATTTAATATTACGATAAAA